TTCTTCAGTTTTATTTTCACTCATTTGTGTATGTTTGTGTGTATTTAGTGCTATACCATATTATTGCCGAGGTTTATGCATCCAGTACCCTGTCAAGATAGTGAATGGTTCCAACAACACAAAGATGTCTCCTGTTACCCTTTTATAATCGTACTCACCCTATTCCTAATCCTGAGAAACTACTAATCTGCTCTCCATTTCTAAAATGTCATCTAAAAATTTACAAAAATGGAATCATACAATATACAACCTTTTGTGACTTCGTTCACTCAGTGAAAAAGAGATATCTGAACTCATATTTTTTATCAGGAACCCACTTTCGTGTGTTAATCTATTCATGATGGAGCCCTCATAACCCCATGGTCATCTTTTCAAGGTCTCACCTCTTACTACCATCACAACAGTAATTAAATTTCAACATGAGTTTTGGAAGCCATAACAGATTCTGTACATATAAATATTTTATTTTATTTGGAGTGATTATAAGTGATATGTTTTTAATTTTTGGCTTTCACATATTTATTGTTAGTATACAGAAATATGGTTGGCTTTTTGTGTGTCGATCTTGTATCCTGTGATATTCCAAAATCATTTCTTAGTTTTGGCTGGGGTCGGGGAGTTGTATGTAATTTCTTAGTATTTTCCACAGACAATCATTTCTCTACAAATAGAATTTTATTTGTTCCTATCCAATTTATACGCCTCATTTCTTTTTTTTAAATCTTATTATAGTGGCTAGGTCTTCTAGTATGATGCTGAATAAAAGTGATAGGAGTAGATATCCCAGCCTTGGCGTTTAGTATGGAAACCATACTTTCCTATCGAGGTTTTCATGCCACATCATCCCTCTTCACCTGATCGCCCCCAATCAACTTTTTTTTTGTTTCCTCTGATGAAAAAGTCTTTAAAGGGAAACGTTTTGCTGACATGGAAGAGATGAAGCAAGAAATGGCAGAAGCACTAAAAGGTGTCAAAATTGACAAGTTCAAAAACTGTTTGGAGCAGTGGGTAAAGTGTTTTAACAGATGTATTGTCTCAAATGGAAAGTACTTTTAAGGTGACTGAAATTAAACATATACAAATAAATACACTTTTATAAATAAATTCCAGTTTTTTTGGGGGGTCCTCCCTTGTATGGGGGGGGTCCTCCCTCTTATGTTGTCCTATCTGCTTCCAAATCTTTTTCTTTAATTTTCAAGTTTAATTATGGTGTAACTTGCCATTAATTTCTTTGAACTTATCCTGTTTAGAGTTAATTTAGCTTCTTAGATCATGGGAGGTTTTTAGATATTATTTCTTAAAATATCTTTTAGCTACACTTTCCTTCTTTTTTTTTTCAATTTTTTTCTTAGCAAAAGTATCTTGCTCTGTTGCCCAGACTGGTGTGCAATGTAATTTTAAAATATTTTTTAGAGACAGGATCTTGCTGTTGCCCAGGCTAGTTTTGAATTCCCGGCCTCAAGTGATCCTCCCACTTCAGTTTCCCAGAGTGCTGAGGTTAAAGACATGAGCCACCACACCTGGCTTCTTTCTCTTTTTCTTCTGTGATTCTAATGAAAAATGAGCCACCCAAGCTGTCTTCTGTTTCTAGGTTAGGAGTTTGAAGTACAAGGTCTGGGTAGACTTTTTTATGGGGTGACAGACACAAGATATCAGCCACAGTGTTGTTCCTCCAGGCCTGGAGTTCCAAACCACTTACTTTCTTTTTATGTTTTCTTCATCGTCTCTTTTATTTCCATAGTTTATAGTTGTGTTTAGCAGAGAGGAGCAGGGGAAAATGGGTAAGCCATCTTGTTCAGACAGGGAACCCTCTACGTATGTTTATCTTTTGTCTTTCTTTATACAGAATTTAGTTACCTTAAAGGACATGATGAAGATAATTTTAACAGTCTTTTTTAAGATATTTTAATATATGGACATAAATCTTAGATTAGCACTGTTGTATTTCAAAGTATATGATTGTCTAACATGTATTCTTTATCGTATTTTTTAAAATATGTGCTCAAGTCCATTTTTAGGCCCGTTTTCTTCTCTCACATTGAGTGAAACTTGCAGCTACAGTGGTAATGAATTTCAAATTGCTTTCTTAAGAGTTGAGTAATTTAACAATTTGAAGTCCTTTTTGATAGGAAGGAGTGTGCACACATGCATATGTGAAATAGATAATCATGTGTTACTGTATTTGTATTTTAAATATAGTGGGTTAAGGCTCTTAAACATAAGTTACACTAAATACTGAAATAGTTAGTGAAAATTCAGAAGAAAAGATTTCGTGACAAAGATACACTCTTAAAAAGACTGTGTACATGTGACAAGAGTGTCATACAAAGGAATTTATTATCAAACACATTTTATACAGGGAAACTTATTTGAAAGCCTAGTATAAGAACAAACATATGAAGGTTTCATTTATAGTTTATTTTCTCTTTCCTTCCCTTTTGAGTTCATATCCTCAAATTTTACAAGCTATTACAGTCTCCAAAAAGAAATAAATTAAATCTAGATGATATTTAAACAATTTTTTGTTAGTTTGTTCCTTTGATGCATCACATACAGAAATTAACTCACACAGAGTTTGCATTTGCTGTAAAGAAATAACTGCTTGTTAATTATACTGCATTTAACTATAGAAACTGGAATATTGATACTGCTAGAAACATTAAGACATATCATTCAGTGGGCTTTAAATGTTTTTTAAACACAGACCTTTTCTCCATATCAATTCTTATGTAAAACTAAGATTATAACGCATGAAGAAACGGTCAGCCATTTATCCACCTCTTTCTCAGCTGTAGACCTCAAGACACTGCCTCAAAACCTCTAAAACTTCAGGCATTTTGGAGCCCATTTTTCAGAAAAGGGAAATAAGGTCCAAACAGGGGCTTTACTGAAATCATAGCAATCACAAGTCTAATTTGGGTCGATGTAATGTTAGCAAACCTTTGGTCTTTTTGTTTTGTTTTTGTTTTTGTTTTTTAGTAATTTCCCTCTTGGCAACATTTTCTTTGTAAATCTTATATTTATCTTTATTGACAAAACCAGCCAAAAGTTATGGCAGCTCCATGAGTATTTAACATCATTTATGCTAAGTTATTTTAGAAGTGATAAATTATCTTCATTCATTTGTTCATATGTATGTCCATTCGTTAGTTTATTTATTCATTCAATAAGTTCTTACGTGTATCTACTCTATAGCAGGCATTATTTTAAGTAGTGGGGATAAATCAATGAATAGAAGGTCGTCCCTGCTTTTGAGGGGCTAACAGTCTTATGGAAGAAAAAAGGCAATAAGTAAATATATAATGTGTCATGTAGCTATAAGTGCACAGGAGGAAAATGAAGTGGGGTGAGGGAGACAGACATGCGTGGAAGAATGTTCCTTTAGGTAAGGCAGTTAAGCATGGCCTTTGCTGATAGGGTGACATTTGAGAAACTTGAAGAAAAGAAGGGAATGAGTCAGATATCTAGAGGAAGAATGTGCCTGGCAGAGGAAACAGAAGTTCCTGAAGTGGGAATGTTCATGCAAAGAAACTCCAAGAAACCCTGAGCCCAGAGACAAGTTGAAGACAGGAAGGTCAGAATAACAAATAGATTGATATCTTGGGTTTGAGATTTTATAAAAATTTTTCTTTATAAATATGCAAGGTAGACTGGTCAAACTCCCAATTTGTAGACCAACTTAAATATTAAAAGTTTACATAGCTTGTTGAGTTCTCTAGTTTCAGAATTAGAATTGATCTGATAATAATTATGTTTTGGTTCCAGTACTAGCCATGTTACCAAGACAGTTGAGCCTTTTTTCTAATCTGGAAGTGAAGTTATTAATACCTGTGCTGGCCGCCACACAAAACTACTATAAGAGTCAACTGACTTACTGTATTAAGAAATTATTTCAAAACCTCTAAAATGCTTTGGGGTTATTATTCCACAGAAGAATGACATGGTGTTTTAACACAGGTTTTTGAAGGATCTTATGGGTTACTGAGTGAGCAGGGCTCCCCATAGTAATGACCAATAATTTCATAGTACATATTAACTTTTGTAAAATGCAGAATTCATGATGTGACTTTTTCAGCTGACTTCTTAGGATCAGAGCCAGAATGATCATTAAGTTAAATGTTTGGAAGCATGCACTAATGCAGATGATTTAGCATACATACAGGTAACCATTCATTCTCATTATCCTTTCAAGGTATCATCCTCTGAATGTCTGTGTACCCAAATCATTCTGAATTCATCGTCATGCATGTCTGTGTAGCTAAATATAAATCTGTGTTGAGACTAGAAAATAGGAGAACCAGATTTTGGCTCACATTTATGCTAAAACTGCTTTTTAACCTAAAATAGCAAACATTTTCATCCACAGAGGCATTGGAGATGTGATTTGTTTTGGAGTGCCTCAATATAAAAGTATTCAGTGAGAGGAAAAAATGAGTGTTTTGTATTTGGCAGAGACTTCGTTTGTGTTAGAAATGGGGATGTGAATAAAGAATATTTTACTTTATAGCTAAAATAATCATGATAAATACACTTTAATATTTAGCAGAGAAAATTTCTAGACAATATTTGTAATTTCCTCATGAAAATTAGAAATTTATTTCAGATTATTAAGCTTTAATAAATGTACCTAACGTTCATTGAGTATGGTGAAATATTACATTTTCAAATACAACAATTCAGTATCTTAACATATTTTAAGTGCCAGTGAGCCATTTCTATGGAAGTCTACTTGTTTGAATGTATTTTGATTAAAAGAGTTAGAAACTTCCTCTGATTTTGTAGTTCTAAACAATTTTTAACATAATTATTTGAAATTGAATAAAGCATAAAAACTTTTGAAGTTGTTTTTTGTTTGTTTTTGATGTTGTTGAATCATTCCTCAGCACTTTTAAAAATATTTTCAAAAGAATGTTTAACCAAAGTAATCAAATTTGAGTTATTCTGTAAACCAATTTTAGTAGCCTTTGACATCAGTTTTAAGTATATGTTTCAACTTCTAGGTAGACATAGCTGAAATTGAGAACGAAGAAAATCGCTACCGTCTATTCACAGAACTCTTGGAATCTAGTCACCATGAGGTTGAATTTCAGCACTTGACTTTGCTTTTGCAAGCTTGGCCACCTATGAAAAGTGAATATGTGTAAGTATTAAAATAACATTAGCCTAATTAGAGTTCCTTTGTCAGGACTTCAGCTCTAAAAATGTAGTGCCTTCAAAAGAGCCAGTGAAAGAATAATTGTGTGTGTGTGTAATCAATATTTGCCTTTAGAGAAATTAAAATTGTTTTTGAAATATTGTACTTTTTCCCATTTCTCCTTGCCCCAAACCCAAATATTTTATTCAAATGTATCAGACAGTGCTTGATAATAACATCTGATTTATAATGTCAACAAAATAATTTTGTTTCAGTATTTTCACTAGGAAATTTCTGACTGTCTTAACACAGCTTACAGTGCTAACTTGAGAATCCATATGGAATAAATGAATAATTTCTACTTACCGAGAACACACAATGTAATATACAATTTACATATATTATCAGTCATTCATATAACATACCTACAAGGGAAGGTGATGTTATCTAATTTTATAGGTGAAAGAATCTAGGCTCAGAAGTTAAATAACTTCAGGCATCACACAGCTAATAAGTGGAGGAGACAGAATTATGACCAACCACTGGCTACCTTCGCAGCCCATGTTGCTTCCTCTGTGTCATGCAGAGCTTGCAGCTGCCACTCATAGCTACATGGGGTCCTTATCCAACCCTAGTGCCATCAACTGCGTAACTTACCCCTTTCCTTTGGAAGGAGTTGCCAGATTTCCTCTGAGCACATGCGCTGGCTCTCATGCACTGCAGCTTCTCATCAGCAGGCGATATGGGGTACCAGTGCCCACTCCAAGTTCCTGTTTGCTCCAGGACTGATCTTGTTCTTCCCATACTCAGCTAGCAGACTCTGCCCCAGGCCAGTGAGCATCTCCAGGCGTCAGAAGTTAAGGAATGGTGTTTTTCTGAAATAAGTTACTGTATTCTGTGAGCTGGTTAGGATTGCTAATGAGCATCTGGAGAAGACACCACCTTAACCCTAGAATGAGACTGTTAGGAATTTCTGAAGCAAACCAAAGAAAGTGGTGTTTTTGTTTTGTGTTATTTTTTTAACCACATATTTTCAGAAAGAAAAAAATATTTATTGGGCCTCTTACCTTTGTGGCAGAGATGGCATGCAAACTGGTAGTTTTTAAGAATGGTTCTTATCTTCATTTTTTGAAACTCATATCAGGCTGGGCACAGTGGCTCATGCTTGTATTCCCAACACTTTGGGAGGCCAGTGCAGGAGAATCACTTGAGCCAGGAGTTTGAGGCCAGCCTGGGCAACATAGTGAGACCTCATCTCTACAAAAAAACAAAAATAAGAAATTAGGTGTGGTGGTGCATACCTATAGTCCCAGCTGTTCAGTAGGTTAAGATAGAAGGATTGCCTGAGCCCTGGAGGTCAAGGAACAGAGTAAGACCCTGACTTAAAAGAAAAGAAAAGAAAAAACTCTCACATCATAAAACCTTCAGTTTTGCTTGTGACAGTGAACTTGAATCTGGTTCCCAGTGATCTTGGTATAGCTGCCTTAGGACGTAGGGGTGCTTGTTAAAAGCACCTCGCTGAGTCCAACTCTTTTATGGGAACCTGAGAATCTGCTTCTAAACAACTCTTAGGTGAGGCTAAAGTGAAACAGATGTGGGGCCTGTTATATTGTCAGTAATGCCTTACTTCTTTTTAAGGCATATTGTTATATTGCAATCACACCTTACTTTTTAAGGACATCGTTAGAGCTGAACCATGGATTTCTTTATACCCTCATTTCCCAATTCAGAATGTGACTCCTCTAGTAGATTACTTAACTCTGGCTTTACTGTTCCTTTCACTTTTAGAACACTGGCCATTTAAAATCATTCACTTACCCACAAGAAACCCAAACCAGCTTAAAACATTTGTTGCACTTAAAACCTTTAATGCATTTGTAGACAAAAAAAATCTTGACCTTTAAAATTATATTCTTACTTTTGCATTCACATATTAAATGGAATTTGTAAATTGATAACCTACATCTTATTAAACTCCACTTTTAAAAACCATTAGAATCAGAACAAAGCATCTTCTAGTCTGTTCATCCCTCTTATCGCTTATATATCCTCTCCCTAAGAGATAGCCAGAGGATAAGTCAAGTAGAGCTATCATTTTCTGGAGAATGTGTGATAGTATATTTTAAAAACAGGTTCTCAAAGTACTTCTGAGTACTTTTTTCTTTTAGAAAATCCTGTGTATGATTTCAGCACTTCCAAAATAACCAAGAAAAAAGAGAAGGAAGCAAAGGTAGCATGATGATGAGACTGCGTGTTGCACATCAACACAAAAGGTTAAAAATTAAGACATGTGCTCCACTCACATAACTGCTAATTTATGATTAACAGCTTTTTTTTTTTTTTTTAGTTTCAGTTTCTTGTAGAAAAATGCATGGGAATATAATAGGTTTATTCTAGTGGAAAATTAAGTTTCACCCAGTGTATCCCAACTGGCTGGTGAAAATATGTCTTGATACTTTGTTAGCAAAGCCACCTTGCCTATTGGTTCAGTGTGCTGTGTTTCTCCCACAGCGAGGTAGCCCACAGAGGAAAACCCAAGTGAGCTGAATGCAGACTTTGAGGGGACGTTCTAAGCATAGAAGGACTCCTCAGCCAACCAGACACTCTCATAGAGCCCTGAGGGTACCTTGAAAGAAGCTGGATTCTTTGTCTTCACAGATTGTTAGTTTGAGCTGACACAAAGGCTATGCCAAAAGACTGATATTGTGAGTCCCCTTGTCAAGATTGTGCTTGAAATTCTTCTCAGGAGCAAGGAATACAATTCTTTCAAGGGGAGTGCCATCCCTAGTTGTTCAGGGTCTATACTCTCGTGTTGTGCTAATGAGACAACAGACTCTTAATGTAAAATTTTATCTTAAATGCAGGTAAAATCGGTACCCTACTCCTGGGGCTTTAACTTGTGTGTTGAATTGTAATGTTTTTATGAAACACGGGTTGTGGCAGTCAGAGAAGGAAAAGAAATGGCGAACTTTTGTATGCTGTTATGTTTCAGACACAAGGAAACAATGTGAAGCACTAAGTACCATCTTCATACTCCTTTTCTGTTGCCTCCTCAAACTGTGCTCCCAAGCTGACCCCTGCTATTCTTTTTTAGACTTGCCCTGACCCCATTACAATAATAATAACATGATCAACAAGAGCCAGTATTCCTGTAGTGAATAGTAAGGTGGGCCTGCTTTTAGGAGTGAAACTTCACGATCACATACATCATTCATTAAGTAAAGCAACTCTGCAAAGCAAAGCAAAACAAAACATTAAATTGCATTTCACAATGAAAAAACTGAGGCCCAGAAAGGTTGAGTGGCTTTTCCAGAACTGAACAGCTAGGCAAGAGTATTACATAACTTCTCTAAGCTACCCAACTAGTAAATCGGAGCCAGAATTTGAGTCTTTTTGCCTTCAAAACCTGTGCTGTTTCAACACTGCTCACTACCTTCAAGCTGCTGGGCTGCTTGTTAATGCCACAGTTGTTAAACCCAAGATTTTAAATCTGAGAGACCACAAAGAGCCAGCTCCGATGCAAACACACGAGGGTCTTTATTCAGGCTTGAGTCTGGGCTCACGTATGAAGCCAATGCAGCGACTTCAGGGACAAGAGCCCTGATCCAGTATGGCAAGCAGTTTTTATGCACAATTACGGAGGGAGGGGAAAGAACTTTAAACTTGTTTTTACACGATTGGGTAATTTCTCCTAATGGGTACGGGAGTACTTGGGATTGGTAGGTTTCTTTTCTGGCTTACGCAGGCTTTAGCTCAACTGCCTGTGATTGACAGAAACTGGCTAAACGGGCAAAGTGGAATGTCAGATAAGGTAGGTTTATACAGTCACTGCGTGTAAATTTACTTGAGCAAGCAGGCAGGAGGTTTGGAACAACACAGAGCCCAGCAGAGCCCTCCGAGAGGATGGCTACTGCCACCAAGTCTGCTGATCTAAACAGAGGAATGCTTAGGAGGGGTTTGTTTGCTTAACATTTACATAACATAACATGGTCATTATGGGACAACAAAAGCTAAACTTAACAAAGTTTTAAGTACAAACGCTGCAAACAAATACAGTGAAGTGGGGTAGGAATTCATATAGTACTAGTTCTAGGGATTTATAAAATACCGTAAACGTTTTCTTATAGCAAGGCGGTTTTTCTAAAAGTCTTTTGATTCTCTCAGGTTTACACAGCCACTACGTGTAAATTAACTTTGGCATGGGATCCGGAGGTTTAAACCAACATAGAGCCCACCAGGAGAGTGGCTAGCGCCTCAGAGTCTACTGCAATAGCAAAGGAATGTCTGAAAGGGGCTTATCGCTTTAACATTTACATCCCATTGTAAAAGCAGAAGAAGTCAACATGGCAATTGGGACGAACAGTGTTTAACCCAAGAGTTCTACATACAAACACTACTTAAGACATTGTATAACTACACAATCAGTCACTACCCGGCACCCGACATGTGCCTAATTCTACGGGGTCTGAGGTAGGATTTAAAGTACTAAGAATTCATAAAATACAATGAACGTGAGGTAGGAATACACAAAATATATAGTGAATGTGAGGTAGGGATATATAAAATATAGTGAACGTGAGGTAGGGATATATAAAATATAGTGAACACTTCTTTTACAGCAAGTATGGCTTTTTAAGTTTCTTGGTTTCTTGGGTCCCTCACAATAAGCTGCTTTTTCTTTTTCAGTGGTTATCTTTTCTACAAGATTGACTGAAGAAGCACATCAACTAGATTCTGATTGTAATTTGCCATAAGCATTGTACTTCCTAAAGTGGAATTTCTTTTCTGTGTTAAAATTTCTTCTGACAATTGTGATAGCTTTAATCATTTCTGATGCCTTATATTTTTCTCCATTAAAACCAGCATAGCCAATAATCCATGGGTGAGACTAGCCACAGTGATGCTCACCAGATGTACAACAGAGAACAAGGAAGGACTCGGTAATGAAGTTCTGAAAATCTGTCGCTCTTTATGTAACACCAAGCAGATGCTGCCTGCAGAGGTGAGTGGGTATTTCAAGTGACTTTCCTGGGGAATATTCCTTTCCTTGTCAAAGCTCTTTATTGTAAGCAATCTCTGGGACTGTACTTGAAAAACATTTAGCTTAAGTCATTACTACTAGTAAAGGCCATAATTTCTAACATATGAAATGAAGAAAAGCAATGCTGAAAGGATACTTTGAGGTAGTTTCCTTTCTTTGGAGCTCTGAAGTAGTGTTCCTTTTATAAATCTCGGAGTATAGCCCAGTTTTCAATTCCTTTTAGATGCCCTTTTATGTCAAATTCAAGCTTATGTTCCCAGTGGTCATGGTAGCTTATGTGTCACCTGTCAGAACCAAGCCAGTTGATAAGTCCTCTTGGCAAGTAAACAGCCACTCTGATTTTTGCATACTTTTTGACATCATTGTAGTAAGATTGCATAGTCACAGTATTTATTCTCTTCAAAATATGGTAAAAACTCAGCTCTATTTGACCTTTGTTATCTATCTGATCCCACGATTGTTTGTTGAGATATTTATAATTGATGATAGATAGAGATAGAACATTAAATAAGCACATGTTCAGTACAGCTCCCCACTATGGATCCCACCTCAGCATTGTATTGTTTGATTAATTTACATGTCTTAAATTTAAAAATTTGAATAATGGCATGAAGTTGATTAATTGGTTATGAGTTCATACCACATAGAATTTAAACATAAAAATAAAATCGTAAATATAATCCCTTGAATCCTCATTGTAATCACTCAAGGAAAATATTCTCATTATGAATGCACATTTAATGAATTGTTTTCTGAATGAGGGACTGGATAAGTGTTTTTTGATTGAATTTTAAAATATTGTATCCGTTTTGAGAAATTTTCCACAACCACCAGAATGACAAAATTATTCTATCAAATATTTAAAGTACCAACACCAAAAATAGCCCCTCGTACTCCCATGGAGTGTGATTTGGGCTGTGTTCCTCAGTCTGCTTCTGTCAGCTATTAACCTGTGTCTGCTCTGCTATATTGCGAGCACCTGAAGAGTGGGAACCATGGCTGTGTTGTCTCTGTGCCGCCCAGGGCAGGATTCAGCTCACTGCATAGAGCTGGGGACTCAACACACTTTATTATTCTCACCAGGGTAATATGTAAATGATGTGAGTCTCACCTTTGCCTGAATATAAGCTAAGATCGAACATTGTTAGGTCAGAACCAAACACCACAAGTATCCTACTGTCCATTCTGTTGAATCTAGGTTAGAAAACCATTGCTTAGAATCTAATATTTGTATCCACCTAGCTGGTGCTTGTGGTAATAACTACCATTTGCTAGTACTCTGGGGCTTTCACTTGGGCTTGTTTGCCATACACCACCATGCATAAGATGGTTCCTCTGTCTCTGTTTGATAGTTGATAGATTGGAGGCTCTAAGGTCAAGGGTCTTTCTCCATCTTTCTCAGGCCTTGAATGATGGTGGCTCTGGTCCTCAAATTAAGTCTATATTCTTGAAAGCTTGAAAAAAGAATACTTCCAGATTAGCCATTAGAGATGAATACATATTGAATGTCTGTCTTTGGCAGTTATATAAATTTTCTTGTCAGTTTTTCCTTTTCCATGATACTTCAAGAATAGCCTATAGAAATTAACATCTAGATTAACAAGTGTCTTAGATATAAGGTTTTTAAGATCTCTGTCATTGCCTAGAGAAGTTTGTTTTTAAAAATATCCTCATTGGTTTGATTTTCCTTTAGCATTTAGGTAAGAAATGTAAGTTAGCTGACGACATGGGCACTGTATCTTTGACCCATGGCATCATTCCACTTGCTGGCTAATCAAGGCTCAATAACATTACGTATGTCATATTTTAACCACTGTCTCCATAGCAGTAGTAAGCCTTGTCGGAATTATTTGAATTTTAGGGTCGTCTTCTAGGACATAGAGGGAGAAGTATGTTTTTTTACTGACTAATTTGTAACAAGTTGTGCTTTCAGCTTCCTATCAAAAACAAAGACTTGGTGGTTAAATGGGAAGTTAAATGCCTGTGGTGATTCAGCTTCCGAATTAGCTTCTATAGTCAGTTTGAGGTATTTGACCAATAGAGTAATGCATTAAGTTGATTTGCAGTGGTCCCGTTTGACCTCAGAATCTTCTGGTCAGTGATTCCTAAGTGTTTTTAGGAAATCAGAAAAGATAGCACAGCACTAAAGCACACATCTGTTAGAGTACTCCTCACACCACACCATGGAAAGGGATATACTGCCGCTCCTCTTAATTAGGACTGTGAGCACCTTACGGGCAGAAGGCATCACACTCAATAGAGCAGAAAAAGCCCTAGTAATTATTAGAGTTACACCGTGCCTATTTCAGATGTGGGCTGGACCATGATCTATGACCATGAGAATATGACCATACTTTCTGAACCTTTGTTGTGGTCTCTGAAATAGAGGGTTAAGCTGGAGGCTCAGAAGAGACTTCAGTTCTGTCTGTTCTGCAAGGTCTCTAGTCTGTGAGGAGAAGGAGCTGAGGCTGTGGACTGCTTCACCTTAGCATGTAATTCACTTCCTTTCAAAAGCTCAGATCCTCTTGGAGTGAGGGGAGAGGTACTGGATTAAAACCCATTTCAAAGAAGACCACTATCATGTCTCTGTTCCAATTTGATGAGAGATAATAGTTCAAGGAGTTCTGTTGCCACAATGACTTTTCTTCATTTTCCTTATGCTGCCTCAGTTTCTGTCTCAGTTGGTCACAGTTATAGATTTTTTTTCCTTAAAATGCTGTGATTAGAGGAAGTTTGCAAATGGTCTGCACTATTTTTATTGATAGCTAAATGTGCTCAAATGTGAATTTAAAGTGTTACAAAGGAAGGAACATTACTATTACAAAATGGAAATGTCTTGTTAAGTTTATTTTGCTATATTTGGAAGTTGAAGAGTTTAATTTCAGAGTCCTATATTTTGTATCACTGTGGTGATAAAATTATCCATGACTTTTTAAAAATCCAATACCGATGGATGCTCTGCTTCATGGTTTATGAAACATGTGGCCTAATTGTTTGGCAGGGTACTGAGGAGGGATCGCCTTTTTCTTCATCTCCATTTCCCACGTAGCTCCCATATTTATAGTTTCTTTTGCCTTCATGACTCTTTTTTTTTTTTTATTGAATCAATATTTTTTATTATGGTTTTGTGGGGTACAGTTAAGGGTTAGGTGTACAATTACGTTTTATTCAGGCACCTGTTGATAAGAGGTGTTTCCCCTTCCCCAGACAGATATTTGCTACTGTTAATCCCATTCCCCCCCCATAGTTTTCCAGTACCGTCAGTCATTTTCTTGTAGTATTACATTGGATGTTCAAGGTCCATTATATGAGTGAGAACATGTGATACTCGGATCTTTGTTTCTGTGAGAGGTCACTCAGTATTATAGACTCTAGTTCCATCCGGGCTGCTGCGAAATTCATGATTTTGTTCTTTTTTATGGCTGAGTAGTATTCCATCGTGTATATGTACCACATTTTTTTAATACAGTTCTCTTTTGATGGGCAGCATGGTTGTTTCCAGGTTCTTGCTATTGTGAACAATGCTGCGATAAACATACGTGTGCAGGTATCTTTTTTATAGAGTGATTTGAGTTCTTCAGGGTCT